TTAAGAAGCAGGAATATTATTTCTAGGGTTTGATCTGTGACGAGTTTCCTGGAAGTTGTGCGGGGAACAATACATCGAACAAGATATGTAAAGATAATTTTTGGTTCAGGTTTTAGAGAGGAATGAGTTAATTGCCTTGATTGTGGAAGGTCTGGAAGCAAATATTGTTCTCTTGCCTTAGAAACACATTCCTGACGAGGGGGATGAGAGTCTGTCCATAAATCAGGGCTAGTCTGTAAAATTTGGGCCAACGTAGACGGATTCAGGATTATTTCTTTCCCTTTGACAAGGAATTTAAGATTAGTCTCCCCCCCCCCGCCCCCCACGATTCTTGGTAACAACCATGTTTATGAAAAAAAGACGAGTAAGACGCGGGTATGCAATGTCAGAAAGAGATGACATTTTATATAAAGAAGACTCTCTAAAGACCTTAAAACAATTGAGAATAGCAGAATCAATTAGGTAAGTATTCATAATTGCAAAAAAACAGAGTCGACGAGAATGATACCCATCTTTCCACTGACCCAGTGTTGCGTAATTTCTAAACCACGATGAAGGAAGGGAAGAATTTACCTCGGGTTCAGTAGGAAATTTGTGAACTGGAGACCGTGGAACTAAGGAATCTAAGGAGAACTCCGATAGGGATGAAGACTCGGAAGACGAGATCTCGGTAACCTTCTTCTTAGAGGAAGAAGGGGTTCGGGCAGCTTTTGAGGACGAAGGTTTCGAAGCACTGGTCTTTCTTTTGGGCGCCATTGAAGCCAAACCACAGAATTACGTTGTTTTTCCCAAAAACTTCAGAGAGATGAAATAAATCAGAAAAATTGGAAGAAGAGAAGTGACGGATGAGAGAGAAAGTGAAACGGGCTCAAGTGTAATAAATGTAGGATTTCGAAAAAGGCTGGAATTCCAAAAAGGTCCTTACAAAACGACGTGAAATAGGGAAGAGGAGAGAATCAAGGTTTTAAATAAGGGAAGAGAAAGAGAAACCAAAAGGCGGAGAGAGATGACGGTAAACACGTGAGTACGTGACCAGACTACTCAAGAAGTGAAATAAATACCTTTTGAAAATCAAGGACTCTTAATTTCTTTTTGAAAATCATAAATACAAAAAATTGCAACGTCCCTCTTTCTATTTAAACTACCCAGCCACTCATTTGAAGCTTTGTTCTTCTCAAATTTCCCTTTACCCTTCTTTGATTTTCGCTTGTCAATGTCTTCTTCTGGCATGGATTCTTCAACCAACAGGAGTGGAAGTGGTTTGTGGTTCAAATCAGTAAACTGCAACTGTGACCCCTGAAGAGCTGCTGATATACAATTCTCAAGCTCCGTGTCAAACCCAGGAAGGCCCTACTGCAAGTGCAGGTTCTATGAATTTTTCATGTGGGTTAAGGAGGACCAGTTTGTGTGTGACACAGCAAGTAGGGTGGGTAACACACCTGAAGCTACAATTGTTCAACTTCTAAGGAGAGATTTCAATGAGTTTATGCACAAAACAGATGAATTTGCTGACTTTGTTCATTTTGTGGTTAAAATTTGTGTTGTCATGTATTTGGTGTTATTATTAGTAGCTTTGAAATAATGTGTTTCATCTGTAATCTGCTATTTCATATGAATAAAGCCAAGTATGTTCTATTTTTGGTAATATAGCTGCTGAAATTCTTATTTGAAGTAGAACAATTGTTGTATTTTCTTTTATTCAAAACACAAATAACAGAAACTGCATGCTTAAGCTTGGAAAACCAATTTGATTGTCATTAGCATAATTCAAAATGCTCCAATTAAAAATAGATTACCAAAAGCTACTGACCAACACAAGGTTTCAACAGACATAAACCAGCATAAACCCCCTACAGACATAAAAAACACAGTCAAAAGCTACTACAGACATAAACCCCCTACTGACCAACACAATTAAAAGCTACTGCAGACATAAACCAACAAAAGGTTTCAATACACAATTGATTTCTTAGTTACCAGCATCACCATCGTCAACTTCTATTAACACAGTAACATGGAAAACCACCTGACTAACGTAACGGACACTGAGAGTATCACCATGCTCAACATCATTGTCAGCCACAAACTTCTCCCAACCAGAATACATGAACAGACCACGAGCTTGACTTAGATTACCATCGAGCAATTCCACAGGCCACGATGGCCCTCCTGGACCACGTTAAACACGAACAGGACCCGAAAAAACAGAAGCAAAAGACTTCCAAGGTCTAGGAAGAGGCTAAGCACAAGGAAAATAGGACAAGAACAAAATTAGGCACACAGATTCCACGAATACAAAGACAAACACACATACGCAAGTTTAAAACAATACCAGAGCATATCTGTGGTGGTTCTTATAATTAAATATGCATTCCATCTCATCATCAACACCACCAACCTCATTCCGTTCTCCAGGACCTCCTCCAACACCACCTTCAGCCCTGTGTTGTACATGACCTCCTCGAACACCAACATTCCTACGAAGCTCTGCAATGCGCTGGTGTCAAAGCCGCTTCAACTAGGCCGACAAAACCTTCATTTCTTGTAGCTTTGTCGTATGTGTCACTCTAATTGTAGCCAATTCATCTCCCTTGACCTTCTATCGGGCACGAATTTCAGCCAATTCAGTGTACACCACTTCAAGCTGCGCTTGCAAGTCACTGACTTCGCTGTCGTTCGCCATGGTTTCGGTGTTCGTAGGATAGGATTAAGAGGAAAAGATTTCTAACAATTTGGATTAACCCTAAACCCTAAGCTGCGTAAAAAAAAATATTGCCAGAGAAAACGGAGAACTAAAAAGACAACTAAAGGGGTATTTGATAAGCCTTCTTATCATGGGTTGAGAGAAGCATTTTAGGGTGTGTTTTGATGCTTTATATGTACTTTTGTTAGCTTTTGTGAGTTTTGGGCTGTGATCTCACTTATGTGCAAAAGGCGAGATTTATGAGTATAAGTGAGTGAGTGAGCTCGGGAACCAATGAAGAGTTATGTAAGAAGGATGGACCTTGGCTCGTGATTTGAGAGTTGTGATGGAGCATGGAAGAGCAAGGAAGAAAGCTTGAGGAAAAGGTGAAGCAAAGCAAGAAGAAGAAGCAAGGAAAGAAGGCGAAAACAGCAGGAACCGCTGCCAGGGCCGCTGGCAGCTGGCCAGAGCCGCTGGCAGCGGGTATACCAGAGTGAGGGGCTGCCAGAGCAGCTGCCAGCGGGTCCAGAGCAGCTGGCAGCGGCTCTGGCAGAAATTCGGGCTGTTTTGGTTAATTTTCAGCAATTTGGCTTTGTTTTGGCTCGTGTTTTGGATATTATTTTATTATTATTATTGTGTTATGTTATTAAAATATAGAAACATATAAATAGCTTAGTTTTAATTAAGTTTTAAGTTAGAAAAAGGAGAATTAAGTTTGAGAAAAAAAAGCTTTCTAGGGTTTACTTGGAATTTTCAGAATTCTTTGTTTTGGAATTAGAATCCATGGAAGCTTAATCTTCCGGATTCTTGGTTAAAGATTGAAGCTTTTAGCTACGAATTGTGAGATCTTTCTTCTCTTAATATCTATTGAATATATATTGTTCCTTGAATTAATTTCATGATTTGCTTTAATCAATTGCTAGGTTAGAATTATTGGATTCGCTTGCATCTAATTAATCTTTCCAAAGTAGCAACTTTAGGTTATTGATGCATGCTTTTGGTTGATAACTTGAAGAGGGAATAATATTATTGAAGAAATTAGACCGCTTGTGTTAATTTATTCAATCCTTGTTGATTTCTCCGTTTATTTTCTTCTTGTGGATAATTTAGAGCGCTTGTCTTGAATTGTGCATTGGAAAGGGTTAGAAAGGAGCGCTTTGCTATTTCTAACTATTTATGAGAATTTAGAATCTAGGAATTCTACAACAAGGTGTTCAATAGAGCTTGATTGAGGAGACTTCTATGATCAATTTGTATGTTCATTAGTGGATTTCGCATAACCAAGACCGTTCTTCTCATTGATTACCTATTCATTACGTTCGTTGTTCTTACTTAGTTCATTTATCATCATTGCTCGTGAAAACCCCCCTCGTTACTTAGGTTACTACCGTCCTAGAGTATTTCCACTTAGGTTTCCAGTTATTAGTCCCTTTTTCCCTGTGGATTCGAACTCGACTTCCCTAACTACGTTTATTTGCAGTTAGCTTAGTTGTGATATTTTTGGTTGCATACGACTGAGGCACACCAAATTTTGGCGCCGTTGCCGGGGAATTAAGGCGTTACTTTTTAATTGTTTATCTTAGTAGAATTTATTTTAGGACTGTTCTTAGCTATTTTTCTTTGTTTGTTCGCTAGGGTATGATAAGTACCCGTTCTGCTAACAAAGAAGTTTTGCAGTTTGATCCAGAAATTGAAAGGAATATTTCCAGGTTGCGAAAAGAGGCAAGAACAACCCCCCAGTGAATCAACGTACTCCTTCAATATTCAAGAAGAAGAGGAGATGGCTGACAATCGAACTCTAAGGGAACTCACAGCTCCCAACTTGAACCAACAACCGTTGTGCATTGCATACCAGCAGTTGGAGGAAGGTACTAATGTTGAGATCAAATCCGGTCTAATTCATCTATTGTCGGCATTCCATGGCATGAAGGGTGAAGATCCAAATAAACATCTGGCAGAATTTCATGTGGTATGTACTAGCATGAAACCGATTGGGATGACTGATGAGCAAATTCAGTTGAGAGCATTTCCTTTTTCTCTCAAAGATGCAGCGAAGGATTGGTTTTACTATCTTCCCCCAGGGAGCATAACAAATTGGGCAGGTTTGAAGAAGTGTTTCTTAGAGAAGTATTACCCAGCCACTATTTCTGCAAGCCTTAAGAAAGCTATCAGCAATGTGGATCAGAAGGAAGATGAGTCCTTGTATGAGTATTGGGAGAGATTCAAGAGATTGTGTGCTAGTTGTCCGTACCATGGGTATTCCGATCAAGACCTCATCCTATACTTCTATGGAGGTCTAACAGATGATGATTTGAGGATGGTGAATGCAGCAAGTGGTGGAGGGCTAGTGAATAAGACTCCAGGAGATGCAACTAGGCTGATTGCAGAGCTAGCAGAGAATTCTAGGCAGTTCAGTCAGAGAACTCCCACGCGCCGGGTGAATGCAGCAAATTCAAATACAACTGAGTTAGAGAGTCAAGTAGCTGATTTGACTTCTATGATGCGTGAGTTCATGGTGAACTCAAGGAATCCACAGCAACTGAATGCTTGTGGTTTATGCACCTCCACAGGACATCCCACTGATGCATGTCCTCAATTACAAGAGGAACAGAATGAGCAGGCCAATGCAATGGGTTTCCAAGGGCAAGGTCCTCAGAGAAGATATGATCCATATTCGAATACATACAATCCAGGATGGAGGGATCATCCAAATTTGAGATATGGGAATTCCCAGGGGAACCAACAACAACAGCAAAATGCTCAAGGCCAGCAGCAATATCAGCAATATAGGGCACCATTGGCCAAACCTCAAGGCCAAAGCTCAAATTCGAATGATATGTCAACTGATGAAATGATTAGATCACTAACTTCTAATGTTTCTACTATGCAGCAAAACATGGTGCAATTCCAGCAAGAGACCAAATCCAGTATTCAGAATTTGGAAAGTCAAGTGAGTCAAATTTCAAGTGCAGTGAGCAGACTTGAAGCTAAGGATTCGGGAAAACTTCCATCTCAAACGGAGTTGAATCCTAAGCAACAAGCCAACGCTATTACATTGAGAACTGGCAAGGAGCTGAAAGAGACTGAAATTGCAACTAAGAGGGCTGAAGAGTTGATTGGAGCTGAGGAGAAGGAAGTGGAACATGAAGCTGTAGCAAATCCTCCCACTTTTCCATCTTATGAACCCACACCACCTTTTCCCGAAGCTTTGAAAGAAACAAAGAGGTATGAGAAAGACAAAGACATCTATGAAACATTCAGCAAGTGTGAGGTAAACATTCCCCTTTTGAATTTAATAAAAAGTGTTCCTCGATTTGCTAAATTTTTGAAAGAACTGTGTACTATAAAGAGGAAGCACAGGTTAGGAGGGATGGAAAAAGTGAAAGTGAGTGCTCATGTTTCTGCAGTTTTCCAAAAGAAACTTCCTGAAAAATGCAGTGACCCTGGTATGTTTACTGTTCCAGTTACAATAGGGGACACCACTTTTCATAGAGCTATGTTGGATTTGGGTGCATCAATTAATGTTATTCCATATTCCCTGTTTAAATCTTTAAAACTTGGACCTTTACATGGAACTGGGGTAGTGATTCAGTTAGCGGATAGGTCTAATGTGTATCCTAAGGGGGTGGTGGAAGATGTGTTGGTTAAGGTTGATGGTTTGATTTTTCCTGCTGACTTTTATGTGCTTGACATGGAACATGACAAACAAGCAGTCCCCATCTTGTTAGGAAGACCTTTCTTGAAGACTGCTAAAACAAAAATCGATGTGTCTACCGGTTCCTTGACTATGGAGGTTGATGGGAAAGCAATTGGGTATAACATTTATGATTCCATAAAGTATCCTGTCAACACTCATTCTTTATGTTCTCTTAATGTTGTCGATCCAATGGTGCATGATGTTCCTAACAATCATCGTGGGGATGAGTTCCTCACACCTATAACTAATGTTGTATCTGGTGATTTCTTGGATTTCTCTATGCCTACTAATGTGCAGGTGAAGGTGGGGGAATTGAATGAACATTCCAAGCTTCCACCTATACCACCAGGTTCAACAATCGGCCCGTCTGCAATTCCGGGCAAGAAATTGTCTCATTTATACCACAAAGCAAAGAATAGGTTGTGGCATGACAAGATGATTTCTAGGAAGAAGGTTAAAGTCGGTGAAAAAGTACTCCTATATCAATCCCGACTTAGATTATTTCCGGGAAAACTTCGGTCCCGTTGGGAGGGCCCTTTTCAAGTGGTGAATGTATATCCGCATGGAGCAGTTGAAATTCAAAGCCTCGAGACCGATAAGATTTTCAAAGTCAATGGCCAAAGGCTCAAACCCTACTTCGAGGGTTTCAAAACCGAGAACGTGGAGTGCATCGATCTCTACGAGCCATCAATGGAGTAGCGAAGTGGGATGAGCCGCGTCGAGCCAACGACGTAAAACAAAGGCGCTAATCGGGAGGCAACCCGATCGAAAACTCTTCCCCATTACTTTTCGTAGTTTAGTTTTTTTTTTTTCGTGTGATGTGAAGAGTGTTTTTATTGTTTTTGTGTAGGTGGAGGCCTTGGGAGCAATTTTTATGCGCGAAACGCAGCAAAAACAGAGCAAAACAGAGACAAGGGGGGCCTTCCCTGCAGAAGCCGCTGGCAGCTGCTCTGCAGCCGCTACCAGCGGGTCTTCTTGCAGCCCAAACCCCTTTGTTTCTGTCCCAGCCGCTGGTAGCTGCTCCTGAGCCGCTGCCAGCGGGCCCCCCCTCTACGTTTTTTGAATTAAAAAAAAAAAAAAAAAATCACCAAAATCTGCCAGAGCCGCTGGCAGCGGGCCTCAAGCCGCTACCAGCGGCTCCTACAGCTCTCCCCGATTTTTTTTTTCCCCTTATTTCCCCCAATTTCCATCTTCTTCCTTCATTATCCCCCAATTCACATCAACCCTAAGCATTTTCTCCTCCTTCTCTCTACTCTTTCACTCCCACACTCCAATTCCACATCTACCCTAGCAATTCTCCTTCCCCAAATCCTTACCTTCCATCAATTCCCTTCACAAATACAACCTAGGTTTTCCATTTGCTCTTGATTCCAAGGGTGACATTGAGTGGTTGTGAGGTTGTGCAACGTGAACTTCTTGTAATTGAAGGTGAGGGTGAAGATTCAAGCATACAACTAAAGTCATGGGAAGGGATAACAAGAGGTCCAAGGCTTCATCTCCATCAAGACCCTCAAGGGGCAAGAAGCAAGGGGCTTCTTCAAGTCAAGGGGAGGCACCTCCATTGCCTCAAGGGGATGGTTTCATGGGTGTTCGGTTGCATTCCAAAGAGAAGGGCGTATGGACTAAGCTTCAACAACCCCGACGAACGGTGCAATGCACCAAGTTCTTTGACTTAGAAGCTTTACAAGAGCTAGAGATGGAGGAAGGAGTGCGGCTCTTGCTAAGGAACGTGGGTCTCGAGAATTTCATGACCAAATGCGCTCCCACCTATGTCAGGTATACATATGAATTCCTTTCAACGCTTACTAAAGGACGTGAACAAATATCCTTTAATTTGAACAATAGGAATTATGTGATGTCTTATGATGATTTGCGTATGGCATTTGGTTGGGATGCACCCCCATTGGTGAACCGTTGGGGTGATCATAGCTCATACTCGTCCCGAGTATTTTGGAGGGCTATAACTGGTTGTGAGGTTGATCCTCACGGTGATCATAGCTTCAAAATCACCCACCCATGCCTTAGACTGGTGCATAGGTTTATATCGTCCACTATTCTATGCCAAGGGGAGGCCACTAAGGTCCCCAAAGTCACATTGTCGTATTTGTGGGCGATGACCCCTGAAGGTGTCGGTACGCCCAATTGGGTGGAGATTTTTGTTGATAGTTGTGTAAAGGTGAAGTCCAACTCCAGTGGCCATATTAGTATGGGTGGCATGGTCTCTTTGCTAGCCTGTTATTTGAATGTTCCACCCCCTGAGGATCTTGTGCCAGTAGACTCGACATACTTGACATATAACATCATGACTCTGGTCAAGATCGGTTTATTATCGCGTTCCCCCGTCGCCGGTAGTTATTTCTGGCGATACGGACCGCAGGGTTTGAACTATTTGAGACTTCCTCGTCCCGAGGGACGAGCATTACCTTTTGGCCCTACTGCTGCAGACTTTTTCCTTCCGCCCGACCCGGATGTTTCTCCTTATTTGGGAGATGCTGAAATCATAGTTGAGAACATGGGAGAGGAGAATCCCGATGTTCATATGGGCGGAGAGTTTGTTGATGAGGAAGGGGGTGAGGATGCTGCTGGAGTGCAGCACGATGATTGGCCTCGATGGAGGGCTGATGTGGATGATAGACTAGAGGAGGTGTGCGATGGGATGCACGAGCTGCTTGCATATCAAAGAAGCATGAGTCGGTTTTACACCACTCAGTATCCGCAGTATGAGCCTCCAACTGAGGCGTTCATGGATCATTTGGCATCCCGTGCTTTGCGTCGTTCCGAGAGGCGTGCTTCTCGGGGCGATGCCGGCTCTTCTGGCTCTGGAGGTCCCTCTCATTGAGATGGTAACGATTTTCTTCCTTTTCCCTTACTTTTGGTTTCATTGTAGTTGTTCTTGCATCGAGGACAATGCTTCATTCAAGTAGGGGGGGGAAGAAATTCTTGCATATATTCTTTGAATTTTGTATAGTTATCTTGATTTCATGTTTTGTATAACTATCTTAATTGTGGTTCAATGAAGCAAGCTTGAAAAAAAAAAACAGAAAAAAGTATGAAAAAAAAGAAAGAAAGAAAAAAGAAAAAGAAACCCGCTAAGTCGAAAACCTGAAAAGGCGGCTTAGGCAAAAATGGGGGCCCGGTTAGGTTGAAAACCCGAAAGGGCGACCTAAGCAAAAAAGTGGCTAATGAGTGGGTGAGAAAGTGAGATTTGGAAAAAGATGAGAGGCTAGGATGAAAACCCGAAAGGGCTCCTAGGCAAAATGAGAGAAAAAAGAGAGAAATGTTCATGAATTTGATTTTTCAAGGAAATTTCGCATCTATTTGCCGGAGTCGGTGTCATAAGGGGAGGAGATATAAGGAGGTGTCGGGGTAGGTTTCATCTTGGTGATTTTGGGAGATAGTTGAGATTTTGGGGGAATTTGTTGATCATCTTAGGAATTTGAGAGCATGAGTTGTTTGTTTTCACTCTTGAATGTGGAAGTGTTTTTATGAGATTTTTGGTTAAGTTGAGTTTTTGTTTGCCCAATTTTATCAAAAATTTCATTTCTTTAGGCGGTTGAGAATATTCATACTCATGGCTATGCGTTTATCGTTCCAAGTTGATTTTGGGGATGAATTGATAAATAAGAAAAAAGGGAGATTCAAAGTGTGAAGTATGGGGGAGTGTGATTGTGATTGGTTGATAAGTACTAGGATGTTTTGTTGAGTTTGAGTGCATAGAGCTAGTTTGATTCCACCATCTTCTGTTTTGAACCTTAGTGAGGAGGATGTGTTTTATTCTCTAAGTTTACTCGAGGGCGAGTAAAGGTTCAAGCATGGGGGAATTTGATAAGCCTTCTTATCATGGGTTGAGAGAAGCATTTTAGGGTGTGTTTTGATGCTTTATATGTACTTTTGTTAGCTTTTGTGAGTTTTGGGCTGTGATCTCACTTATGTGCAAAAGGCGAGATTTATGAGTATAAGTGAGTGAGTGAGCTCGGGAACCAATGAAGAGTTATGTAAGAAGGATGGACCTTGGCTCGTGATTTGAGAGTTGTGATGGAGCATGGAAGAGCAAGGAAGAAAGCTTGAGGAAAAGGTGAAGCAAAGCAAGAAGAAGAAGCAAGGAAAGAAGGCGAAAACAGCAGGAACCGCTGCCAGGGCCGCTGGCAGCTGGCCAGAGCCGCTGGCAGCGGGTATACCAGAGTGAGGGGCTGCCAGAGCAGCTGCCAGCGGGTCCAGAGCAGCTGGCAGCGGCTCTGGCAGAAATTCGGGCTGTTTTGGTTAATTTTCAGCAATTTGGCTTTGTTTTGGCTCGTGTTTTGGATATTATTTTATTATTATTGTGTTATGTTATTAAAATATAGAAACATATAAATAGCTTAGTTTTAATTAAGTTTTAAGTTAGAAAAAGGAGAATTAAGTTTGAGAAAAAAAAGCTTTCTAGGGTTTACTTGGAATTTTCAGAATTCTTTGTTTTGGAATTAGAATCCATGGAAGCTTAATCTTCCGGATTCTTGGTTAAAGATTGAAGCTTTTAGCTACGAATTGTGAGATCTTTCTTCTCTTAATATCTATTGAATATATATTGTTCCTTGAATTAATTTCATGATTTGCTTTAATCAATTGCTAGGTTAGAATTATTGGATTCGCTTGCATCTAATTAATCTTTCCAAAGTAGCAACTTTAGGTTATTGATGCATGCTTTTGGTTGATAACTTGAAGAGGGAATAATATTATTGAAGAAATTAGACCGCTTGTGTTAATTTATTCAATCCTTGTTGATTTCTCCGTTTATTTTCTTCTTGTGGATAATTTAGAGCGCTTGTCTTGAATTGTGCATTGGAAAGGGTTAGAAAGGAGCGCTTTGCTATTTCTAACTATTTATGAGAATTTAGAATCTAGGAATTCTACAACAAGGTGTTCAATAGAGCTTGATTGAGGAGACTTCTATGATCAATTTGTATGTTCATTAGTGGATTTCGCATAACCAAGACCGTTCTTCTCATTGATTACCTATTCATTACGTTCGTTGTTCTTACTTAGTTCATTTATCATCATTGCTCGTGAAAACCCCCCTCGTTACTTAGGTTACTACCGTCCTAGAGTATTTCCACTTAGGTTTCCAGTTATTAGTCCCTTTTTCCCTGTGGATTCGAACTCGACTTCCCTAACTACGTTTATTTGCAGTTAGCTTAGTTGTGATATTTTTGGTTGCATACGACTGAGGCACACCAGTATTTTAAAAAATAGGTCTGATGAGAATTGAAAATTCTGTAAAAAAAAAACAGTAAAGGGAGCAATGGTATGAAGAGAAATAGCCACATTTTTGAAAAGCCACAAGTAATCCATCATTACTGCATAGAAAAGACAAGTGGGTAATACGTAAGCAATTGCAGACAATAAATTGTGATTAAAATGTAATTAAGTTGTTTAAACTTAATCACTTCTGTGTTTAATCAATTTAATGAGAATCCCACATTTTTTTAGTAAACACAAAAACTTCTCTCTGAAATAACCTCCATTAATCATTTTAATAAGAGCATACGTGGAGATCCAATCATTGCTCGTGGACCAATATTAGAGGAGTGACACTTGACGTTCTAAAGATCTCTAATTGAAGAAAGAAGTGTCGTCTTACTTTGTGGAAATCACGCGTCGAGGGTATGATAGACTATTTTAGGTGATTCGTGTAATTTATATGCATGAGATCCTGGTAGTTGGTAAGAAATTGTTTCTTGAAATTTTGCTAACTGCATCTATTTTCACCTTTTACAATTGCAAAAAAAAACCACAAGAATTTGTTGCCCCCCCTCACATCGGTGAAGTACCCTAACGAACCCATAATGACAACTGTCTTCTACCCTAACGGTACAACATTTGCTTTGCTCAACAATTGCATGCTTCTTGCTATATTTATAAAGTTTGTTCACAAATCATGTGCTATTTCAATAACTAAAAATCCTTTGCAGCACTCTCGTACTAAGCATATTGATGCACGACATCATTTTATAAGAGATCATGATGAAAAAGGTGATGTTTCTATTTCTT